CCAGTATGTATAAGAGGTTTTTAGCTAGCGGAATTTCGAATAATCTTATTACAGCACGAAACACTGAAAAAACGTATGATCGCACGGGCCCGCCCAGTGCGCGTCGCCAATGATTTTTTTAGCAGATGCTTCTCGCCAAACGAATTGAGGCTGAATACCGTGACTGTCAAAAAACATCTCCTTAGTATTTCAGCTTTGCAGCTTTTCCGGTTCCTCAGTGAGCAGCTTACCCGCTATAAATTTTCATGGACTCGTACATGAGAATCACACAGGCACAAGCGTCCATTTTGATGATGGAGGTCCGTACATGCGTGTATATCAAGTTGCCGAAGTTTAAGTCCCGTAGTTTTTCCAGGTCACGAGATGAAAAGTCCGTAGAGACACACATACAGACACATGCTTGCGCACACACACACGCACCCACAAACAGACACTCCCTTGTCAATATGCGCTTATGCACTGAATAGATGCAAAAAACGCATAAAAAGCCAAAATCCATTCCTTATTCGCTCTTGATTCTAGCAGTGTTGCAGACTCCTGTATTTACTGGTTCCCGAAACCGTTCTCCCTCAAAAAAATTTACACATTTCTTGTACGTGAGAATAAGACGCAAGTGAACGATGATTTTAAACGGGAGTTTGTTTTGTGAGGTGGAATTAGTGGAGTGGCCTAACAATGCGCTGCCACACTGACTATCCAAGCAGTCTTGGCATACTTGATATAAATCATAATTCAAAATAAAATTTGCTAATTTGGTAATAATTGTAAGAGAGCCTGACCCTTATAACTTTTGGTTTGCGCAAATGAAATAAGCAGAAAATGCAAGAAACCTGAGTGGACAAGTTGTTCTGCAGCAGCACAACACCCCGTCAATGTTTCTGGCGCCACTCAGATCACGTACCGCGCTGCATATGTAGGACCTAGCACGCCACAACTCCACGTGCGTGCATTGTTTTAACACCGCTAATTTCTTGTTCTTCTCCACTAATTCAGGTATATTCTCAATACATCCACGCTAAAAATAGAATTCCGTGTAGAACGATCAGCTCGACTCAAATCCTCCAAAGTATCTGTTTTCACCTCGTTCGCAAGATCAAAAAGCGGGAGCCAATCAATTTAAAAAAATTACTTTTTTAAAAATGTTTAGCAGATGTAAATATTTAGTAACAATAACTCTCGAAGCTTTATCCTAGTCGAAGAAGTACTCATTGTGATCAGAGGCATGGTGTTCGTTACTCCTGTTACACATATTCCAACGATACTACGAAACACAAACGCCTTGCAATTGCTTGATTTTGAGTTGATAACTGTTTCAGAAGGCAAAACGAATGAGATCTTCAGCATACTGGTTTCCACACGATGAAGCATTGGACAGAGCAGCTGGAGAGGTCGCGGGCTGTATGTTTCGAGAACCACGCTGCGAACTGCAGTTTATCAAAGAACTGCCTTGCTACTCAAGAGAACGGGTTTTGTCAAAAAGCTATAAAATGCAGATGGAACGCGATAAAATGCATCAAAATCACCTGAAATCGCTTTTTGCAAGAATTCAAGGCAGCAGAAAAGCTTACATGCCTTTCCCCTCCAACAGAATGAAAATCAAAGCATCCGTAGTCGGTCTCACAGGTAGATCGTCGTAAATCGTTTGCACTAAAGCATCTTGGATTGGGTGACGGCTTTGACTCTCTTGCGTATTCGCGCACGGCAAACGGCAACAAGTGCTGTATAAAATTAGAAAAGCCTAAAAAATATATGGAGACCAGTTAGTAACTTAGAAATAATGAACCCTCCACAATTCTTACTCCAGTAATTTAACTAAAAACACTGCTTGCACTGTTTAATAAACTGGCCAATTCGGAATTTCAAGTCTGATTGAAAAACTGAGATTTAAATGAAAAACACCGGCCAAAAAGTGAATTAAAAAAGTAACGCCACTTTGTTTTAATTTACAAATATCATAATTTGTGCTTTATTTTTATCTGTATTTCTTAAGGCACATAATATAGTTTGAAGATATCAGAGCTTGAATTTAAGGTGGAGATGTTGAATTCCCAAATGGCAAAAGCCTTGCCGAAGTGTTCCAGTTGGGAACATGGGAGGCAAGGCTAGCTCCTGTCGGTGCTTATGTTGCAACGCTAGCTGTTTTAAGTATTAAGTAGGTGAAAACAGGTTAACTAATTAACGGAAAATGGTACAAAATTTTAAGCGGCGGTGACATGAAACATCTTAGAGATCGGAACAAAAAGTTCTTCGTGTACACGACAGATGTCAAAGTGAGCAGATTTTCCGAGACTGTTAAACAGTGCTTGTTAGAGAATGCATAAATACGAACACGCATTAGACAAAGATTAGTAACTGGCTTTAAAAAAATCCTACTCTTCTCATGATCTAGCGCGGCAAAGATATTTTCAGCCACAATTCCAGGAAGGCAACTGATTACAATAACTAATTTTGGTTGAAACTTTTGTATCGACTGAAAAGGATTTGTTAAGATATGCTCGAAAAAAATATCAGACAAGAGGGCAATCGGGGCCCAAAATTAGATTTTTGAGAAGGCTAAGTAGGAAAGGCCGAACAAGAAATTTTTTTAGCAGTTATAAAAATGTTTTTACATCCATTTTGACGAATAGAATTTGCTGGCAAAGCAATTATCTAGAGCTAATTTGAGTTGTGGATAACGCCAAATAAGACTGCTTGATGCTTGAAGCAGGATACTAACTTAGAAAATGGGATCGATAGACGCAAAGCTTGAAGTTTCGCACTCTTTTTTCAATACTGCTGCTCTTTCAAAGAATGATATGATAGAGTGTGTACCACTCTTTCTTTGTCATTCTTTAAAATTCCTTAGATATCATTATGTGCAAACCTGCATAAGATAGTATTCATATCGAAATCTCTAAAAACCCAGCAGGCAGATACGAATTATCCTCATTTTTGCATAACTATGAAACACATACTATTGCATGGAGTAGTTAGATTGGATTGACAGCGCTGTATGAATAGAGTTATGCCGGAATAAGTGTGAGTCAGAAGACGCTTGGCATGCTGTAACTCGGCCGCAGTGGTAGCCGGACGCAGTGCATACATTCCATATGAAAGGGCTCGTCTCATGAATTTCACGTAACTGACACAAATCGGAGTACTATTCGTTACCTGCAAACAGATATCTTAAATACCGTTCAACAGTGTCTTCAAAAAGGCACCACATTCATCCAGTTGAACTCCGGACGCGATAATTTCTGAGGGATTCTTAAAGTCGCATAGGAGTTTGGGCTCTTAATCAAATTAGCCACTACTGAGTCATTCGCTCCACACATTCAAAAAATGTCAAAAGTCCCGTCCAGAATGTCGGAGTATTCACTCTCTGTGAGATGCGAAGGCGGTGAAAATTTAGCCCCTAATATTATTAGCAAACGCAAATTGCAACTACCCGCTGGCAGGACTGTCGACTGCTCTTTTTTTCCAAAAGTTGTTTAAAAACGAGCTGATAGCAAATTTTACTTCCTAGCACGCCCAGTACCAATTTACCATCGAAACGAAAGAATGAATCGTAGAGCGACTGGTTATGTCAAAGGCGGAGCAGAATTGCACACTCGATCTACAGCACAAAATAAGTGCTGGTTCCCACTGCGCTGTGCCAAACAGAGTAATTGCGCATTCCCACTTTTTGCTGAATACGCTTGTGCAGTCTATACGGATTCAGCTTGCACCGAGTGGAACACATGTGTGACGGCGAAAGTGAGACTAAAATCTACCAATTGCCATAGAAACAAATGTGACTCAAGGAGGGAACGCTCTTGAAGATAAGACCTCCGAATTGTAGTTGCTAGGGTTTTTGATGAAGTAGAAAAAGTTTTTTTCCGTTGTGCGTTGAGTTCAAACACTCACCACTTTCTTGTTCAACATTGTGGTGAAATTAGTGGGTTTGCCAAGCGCATACATGTCAATTGATACTGGTCCATTTTCTCCAACTAGATCGTAACACTCCGGCCTTTTTAGCGCGTCCTTATACTGACGAAAATAATCTTCCATCTTCTCGTCACATGTTTTCTGCAAGTTTTGCTTTCTTTTTCAGAGGACATGATAAGAGTTCAACTCAACCAGCAGGACAACCAATCCCTGTACAATACTTCCATCTGTTTCGATAAACTGGTATTGGCACAAAAGTTCTTAAAAAGGAATTCGTCTATATAGTAGATGGTTGCTTTTGGCGTTTTCTACCAAACGGGATATATCCCGGTCGACCTTGCCTCTCTTAGAGAGCAAAACGGTGGGAATTTTGGCTTTCTGCTTTGACCAATAAAGTTGGGCCCACAAAATCCTTTTTTCTTGAAAAGTCAAAAGAAAGAAAACAGGAATTTTGGCATAAAGCACTTATTTGATTTTGATGAAGTGCTTACATACCGTGCCGTATATGTTAACGATCATCAGTGCCTGCATTTTGCACTCGCATTCGAAATACTGATAGGTAACTGACTGATGCAGTTGTTCTCTGCGATGACAGTTTTGATCGCGCAGCGGATACACATTCAGGATCACACAGCTCAAGTGCCTGTTTTTGCAAAAATTTAATCACTGCGAATCGGATTTTAGCAATAAATGGACTGACGGCATAAAGTTGAACCATCATTGCATTCATTGTTTTATTAAAATTATTGTTACGAAACTTCAAAAAAATCACATTCTCTGCCATATATGTAGGATATCACTATGATCATGCGAGAAAATAAAATCCGGTGGGCAAGACATGTTGTTCGTTTTGCTGACAGTGGCGAAAGCAACGCATTTGTGAATGGTGACGCGAAAAATAAACTAGTCACTCAGGCAGTGGCACATATAGGCCTATTAGTTATCATACTGGAGATTTGCAGCTCAGGATCGAAGCGCCTGGCTTAGCTGCGCTAAGTGTATCGCCCCCTCTACACTGATATCACTGACATGGTATACCCATATTGACCAGTCGGGCAGTTTAGATTTTTTAGGTACTGAAAATGTTACCAGACGCGATTTTATAAATAATGGCCTACAACTAGAAGTAATTAATCGATAATTTCCGCCTATTAATTCATTATGAATTTAAGAGACCTTTAATTAGTAAGCATAAAGAACTTCATTATTTCTTCCGATATAAATGGCTGTCCTGGAGACCCCTATTTCTTGTACAAAGGGATTATTTATCAAACAGTTTGTCCTCGAACTGTTCGAAAAATCTGCTATTGTTCAGAATAGAGAAAAACTCGTTAAGATTTTAGATAACTTTGTTTCTTTGAGGGCAGAGCGTATGGCAGTACAAGTAGCCCAACTTATATGGTCCGAAAGCTAAGCAGAAAATGAAATTAACCCAGCAATAGGTTCCACACGGGCAATACGATATGTCACCGACTGATCGTAGGAAATTCCATCAATAATAACAATTTCTTGTTGGTAGTGGAAATCGAAAGCTCTCCAGCACGCTGTAAAAAGAACATTTCAAAACGTCGTATGTACTTTGACATTTTGGTTTGGCTCCGAATCAAAAGGGTAATGCTCATTACACACAAAGGACATCTCGATACGCCTAAAACCTATCCAAATGCTTTTGTCTGGAAAACTGTCCATTTAGTAATCCGTTTAGAAGAAACAAAAATAAAAACGCTATTAGACTGACCACCAGAGAATCTGGCAAGCTATTAGGTATGCATTTTAAGTACCAAAAACGCTAAAAGTTAACAAAAAAAGAATCAAATAATTTGTCTTAAACTTGTTCAGTAGAATAGCAATTAACTATGCAGATAAAATGATCAAGTGCAGCGTATCCTAAAAAGCTATCCATTAAGCAACAGGAATTATGAAAGACTAAAGGAAAACTTCAGTGGATCCACGGCTTTCCCTGTTTTTGTTTTACATAATTATTGCTGGTGAGCGCAGTGCAGTGTCAAGTACCATTGTTATTGCATGGAAAGTCAAGAATTTCACCGATTTAGTGGAACGTCAGTCCTTTTACTACTCAATCATTCGATCCAATGGTAAAAATTGGTACTAACATTTGTTAAACAGTCAAAAAAAAACCATGAGTTTGTTTTTAAGCAAATCTCAAAGAAGTAGCCATCGACAGCCTTGCCAACAAGTGGTTGATACTTGTTACTTCCGTCATATTTCTGAGTACCTTCGCCCCTACCAAAAGATGAATACGGAAGAGGTTTGACCTTTTAACGAAATTATTATGAAAAGCAATAACTTACATCTTGTTATAGCTTTCTCAGTATCGGGTGCGAAAGTTTGAACTAAGTACGACATAGCGCCAATGTGACATTGAAATACCACGCTACAAACATTTTATTGTAAAGCAAAAACGCCATTTCCTCTGAGTTTTGCCCTGATTTTGCACCAATAAATTGAAAAATAAAGTATAACCAATTTAAAGCGACGAATTAGTCTGGATATCAAACAGCTAATTTATGCTTGAGTAAACTGCGCGTGATGCTGCAAATTAGAGGATAAGATAGGCATTGCCTCATTGCTCTTCCCATTTCATTCCTTCTTCCCTCACAAGTGTATCCTTGCAACAACTTATCAAGTCCAATTCTGAAGAAGACAAGATACTTCTTAAGTACTTCAAAAAAGAGGTACTAATAAATCGTTCGCGGACCTGCTGCCAAAATTTCCAATTGTCCCTCACTTGGAAGCCATAGGCCCTGCTACTCATCTAGCGGAAACATATAATGCCTAGTTAACTTTGAAAACAAAACTTGAATTTCAGGAATTAATTCCGGAAAAACTTAAATGATTTTGGGAGAATCACTGACCTTTTGCATAATTTCAACAAAATAACACTCCTACGAGTAAATTTCATTCAAAAACAGTTTGAAGGAAAATACAACTTTTGAAAATCTTCGGGAGTGAGGCCAATCTGATATTCGCTTTTCGACGGATTACCATTACCCCAGTGGTTACACAGATTTCCACGATTGCAACAACATCGATATTCCGCTTGAACGTGCGACAAGTACAACAGATCGTTCAAACATTCCGGACCAACCAAATCGCAGTCAACGGCCTCCTCTGTGGTGCATTTTCCTTCCAAGTCGGCCGCAGCTTCAAAAAATACGCTGCAATCAAAATCAGTTGCAAATATATGCTTTCGACAGCTAATCATGAAACAGCTAATAATAATCGCTAGCAGCAAGTGTCTCCTGAAATCTCCTCCTGTCATTTCCATTCGTCTCGAATCGGCGCATTTCTCAGGCTAGATTTTGAAAAAACTTTCAAAATCATCCTTATTAAGGAGGGCTGTAGTGAAGAGACTCGAAAATTTTATGCTCAGCTCATATTTGTCAAGCCTACGTACCTGTAAGAATGCTTGTGAAAAACAATATCATTGAAATACTAAGACGAGGAGGGAAAGATGGAAAAAAGCTTGCATTAGCAGATACGTCACGAATGAAAACTTCTGAAATAGTAGGTTGGCAGCAGAAATCTAGGCAAACAAATTACGGGACGTAATGAACCTAAATCAGGAAGGTCCAGAAAAAGAAATCGATTAAAACTGTGCCCTTCTGAAACAGAGGAAGCTGTGCCTGCGCGCTGAAGTATTTGTTTCGTCCCGTGGAACTATCATACCTTTAGCATCAAAAAAAGAAATGACAGGTATTTGGTCTCAAAAATGAAAATCACCTGGGAAAGAAAAATGGGAAAACCTCAAAGCCATGAGAGTCTTTCAGCACGCATGTTCTCTTACAGTATAGTAGTCATGTTCTCCTACAGTATATGATTTTTGGCGCAAAAGATCTCTTTTCGGATTCAGTGAGATAAAATTGACAAAAGTCCTTTTGAAGACTAATCGCTATGCCAAAAATCTTCTCCCTTCCTCGGCTCGCCGTCTAAACGAATGAGCGAATCGTAAAGAAAATGGGCTGATTTTAGTTTAGACATAAGAATGATAAGTGAAAGTGTTAAAATATCGCTGCCTGCTTTTCAGAAACAATTATCAATTCTTTATAATTTAAAGAATTAATAGTCGATGCGTAATGCTTTTTTCCGAAACAAAGGTGGGAAAGCTTTTTAGCAGCCTTCCCTAATTACTTCGTTGTCCCTTTTCAAATTTAGGAAAAAAAAAACAAAGGGAGACCGAGAACCACGGGATTTGTTACTGGAGAAAGAGTAGTGCAGATGATATGATGGCCAAGCCTCTATTTCTTATTGCTTCTCTCGGATTCAAGTACAGCTTACTGCGCATAGTGACAAAAACAACTGATAAAAAATAAGAAGTATTACGATTCTGTTGTGCCATCGTGAAGCTCGATCAGGATATCAGAGATACAGTACTGTGTCCGTAGTGGTAGCTTCTTTCGCTCAATCGTTTCCAGTGCTGCAGAATCGCTGACTGGTACTCTGCTATACACAATAAATTGACCAACAGCGCAGTGCCACAGAGGAATATTACGTCCTGTGGATATCTTTTCCCCACCACTGCCTGCAAAATAAGCAACCTAATTTTTTAGAATAATTATATAGCATGGATTTACGAAAACATACTTGGAATGAAGTCTACACTACAGCAGAGTACCACGCTTGATGCAGCTTTTACCGAGCATAGTGCAAGGGGAAGTAATACCTCTGTTGTACAGAGAGTTAAAGGTTCGACTCCAAAAAAGGGGACAATCAAAGTCTCTACGATTCGTTCATTCGTTTCGACGGTAAATCAGTACTGGCATATGTCAGGGCGACAAGCCGCGTCATCAGCGTGCATCTGAGTAATCCTCCAAAGAAGGCGTCGACAGCAACCCTGCAGTCGGGTGCTTGCTGTCCGCTTACGCTACCGCTCGCTCTATATCGGGAGGCCCGGCCTTCCAAAAAGAGAGAATAGGGAAGGGATTTTTTACCTTTGATTCCGACTCCGGAAAAGTACAGCAGAATTTTTATTACTTGCTAATTTCACTTTAACTTACCAAGCTGCAGAGGTTTGCTGTAGAGGAAATCACGGTACATCCAGCGAGTGGTTTTCACACCGTAAGCTTTGGTGCGTACTTCATCAGCCAGAATTGGATTGCGAACTTTGACGTTCGTCTCCCAGACCTTCCGGTTCATTTCCATGGTGGCCAGTGTTCCGTTGGCAACTGAGTAGGCGCACAGCTCTGGCTTATTATAGCAGCAGCACAGCACGAAATATTCGCGCAACGAGGCGTAGCGAACACATTCACCCTCACGAATTTGATTAACGCTGTATTCGGCGCAGAAATGGCCTTGAATTGCCAGTGCTACTAGTGAGTTCTGCAAATGGCTGAATTTACCAGTTACCGCATTTCAACTGATTGCTCAAGAAGTCCAACTGATAGCCACAAAACCAGTTGTATGGACAAATGGTGCTGGGGCCCATCTTAGTGATGTTACTGCTAAAGGCTAAATTTCTAACAAAAAGTTTACCACGCGTTGCGCGCAATTATGGTTAAACTCTTTAATTCAGGGCTGCATACCTCCAATCAGTATCCACAGCCTATTCACTGTATGTATGCCATCTGTCCGAATGGCGCCCAAGCGAGCATTTACTTTTCTGTGGGTAAGTAGATATATAAGTAAATAAAGATGAAGTTAATGGAATACTCTTGCAGAAGTAGGAACATAAATACTGATAAGAATAAATCAAAAACAATTTCCTTTTTAAACATATATAGATACACACGCTCTTATTTTTCAAATCTTGCTAAAAGGTATACCTTTTCACGCTCTGACGATTGCTTCATCAAGTCGATTTTGTTCCAGTGCATTGCGCCAACATGCGCTTTTGCCGGAGTATTCACGTCAAGCATAAACATACACGATGCACCACCCAGTGTCTTTGGCTGAAATTTTTGAAAAAATTTGCGGTGATATGTGGTAAATTTAGATTAATTCAAGCCGTAATTTACTAATCCGTCACTGATAAAACGATAAAAGGTGGCAATATTTGACTGGGAAAAGAACTTTTTGAAAATAATCAGAGGAGTCAACTAGTTTCACTTCCCATCCTGCAACCTCTAATCTGTTAGTGGCCCTATTCTCCCCTCCCTTAGCCCTTATTCCCTTAAATTTAAAACATGCCGTAGAATTCTCTAAAGAGGCCCTTGGATTTAGAAAATTACGTGGACAAATATTTTTTTTCACATCTATTTAATCAAATAAAAAGGGAAAAGTGTTCGGGCGGTGAAAAAGCAACTGCGAGGGAACTTTCTTGATTTGAAAATATTACTTCTTTGTCACCATTGATGTTGATGCAGTAACTGTCCAAATCGGTGGATGCCGTCACTAGAGCGTTATCACTGTCACCCTCAATTGGACGTCTTTTGTAGAATTCACTGATCAGGTCCTCGATGATTTCTTCATCCGTCATACCCTGAAGTCTCAATTATAATACATCTTTTGCATATGGGCTAATATAGTGTAATCAGCCCTTTTCTGGACAATAATAACGATAAATGGCCAACGCACGGGCTGCCCGTGCGAAGATGCGTTTTTTGCAGAGTTCCCCGCAGGTTT